AGCATTATTCGTAAAATGGACGGGGTGGTTAAGATGGAACTGGCATGGCCCTATACTATCAAAGGACAAGCCCCTGACGAGCTAAAAATACCTCAACAAGAGACAAAGAGTGTTACCTCATCGAGCATGCTGACGAGCTTTGCTTTCTTCATCTGAATTTCCTGTTTTTCAGCTGTAGTGAGTTCAGCACTGTGTTTTCCACTGGTTTCTCCAATACTATTTGCAGCGGCCGAGGATTCTCCAACGGTAATCTTGGCTTGTCCGAAGGTCGACTTCCCTGATTCTGTAGCAGTCTTAACTTCTTTGCCAACATTGACAACTTCTTCTAGAAGTTCCTGTGCCGCCTTCAAATATTTAGAACTCATAAGGACACTTTGCATACCAGTCACACCGTTGGAAACCCCAGAAGCCGAGGAAGGTGATTCCCTGGAAACCCTAATGCCTTCCCCACGAACCGATGGTTTGGTGGTCACAAGGGGTCGGGATGGAGAGTCACTCTCGGGCCTAAAAGACCCGAACCCCGGTGGATGCTGGGAAGAGAGGCTTAAAGAGAGTCCTTGTTGAGCGCGTGTAATATCACGCGCCTCTGTGAGGTCCATCGACGGGTTGTAAAGATTGTACTGACCGCGTGGGAGGAAGCCGTTGAGGGCCGGGAGATCCTGCTGAGGGTGAGTGTCTTGGTATGAGGTGACGGTGGTGGAAGTGGTGGCTTGGAGGGGGATGCCAACGAAGTGTTGTGTTTGAGAGGGTGGCGCGTGGGGTAAGTTTAGGGAATTCCCGGAGTTATTGGAGTTAAGAAACACGAAGTTGCTGCCACCCGGCGGCGGCGGTTGGGTGTCAGAGTATCCAACGTAGCCAGGATTCATCAGAATCAGGGTTTGTAACCCATCACCACCTCCTTGTAGTTCCGAATTCCCATGAAAGTACGCTGCCATCTGAACCTCAAAAAAAATATTATCCTATTAATCCAACACACACTAACAGGGAGATATATAAATGTAAAAAGCATACCTGTTAAGGATATATGAAACTTGCTGGTTTTATAGGGTTCAAATCATTTGCTGAAAAACTAGTGTTCAAAAATCTGTCAAGAATTGACTGAAAGTGTGTCAGATTAGCCCTGTAAAATTCAAAAATAGTTAAATCTGATATCATCATAGAAGAAACCACAATCTTGATTGATTCTTCAGTAGAAGCTATATCGTGGAAGTGGACGAAAATAAAGAAACTTAAACGCTGATATCTGAATTTATTATTAAGGAAAGAAAGGGATTGGTTAGGTTAATATTATTGATACCTGGTTTGATGAAAATCTGAGTGTGCACGTTCTCCATCGTCACCATCTGCAAAGGAGGAAGAATTTTAGTTACAGCGACACCATAAACACCATTATCAAGTTTCAGTGGCCATAGCAACAGGGATACCATTCACGAGTGATCCATACATACATCTATAAATATTTTAGAGAGAGAGAGAGAGAGAGAGAGATGTCAGACTAAAATCAAGAACTCTGCAACTGATTTCTACGACTAGATAAGGAAAGAACAGAAGTGAAGCTTGAGATGAAGTTTAAAAGGCAGTGAAAAAGGTACCCTTCTTTATTCACTCAATTATCCACACGTTTCTCTCTTCTTTTCCTTTCAATTAGAATAAGAATAATTCAAGAAAATATATGTATATGTGCTTGATAATATATATAAATATTTGAAATATATATGTTATGTGTGGATTTTGGGTGAAGTACCTGAGAATCGATCAAACACAGTAACTTCATTGATTTAACCCTCGTTTTCAAATCATTTGATGCGGGCAGGACTACTGCAATTAACTAAAAACAACTTTTTCAGTCTGTGTGTGTTTGATGTAAGAAAAATGGTATTATCAACTGTGTGTGTCCAGCTGAAAACGAGGAAACGTCCCCTTCCAACTAAAGATTTATGTATATATAATTATATTATAAAGATAGAAAAGAGAGAAGACCATCGTGGACATTACCACTAAGAGAAATGCTACGTGTACAACTTGGTTTACCATCTGATTTATAGAAAATACAGGTGGGCAAGATGTTACACCATCTTTGACACAAAAAAAAAAAAAAAAAATGCACAATTACT